CCGCGGGCGGGGGCCCACGGCCCCCCCAGCCTCCTGGGGCAGCACTGGCACATAGATGAATTTGAAAGAGCCCAGCTTGCCATTGAGGAGGCCCAGCCATGTGCCCACAGGTGGCTTTTCTAGGAAATGGATAACATCTCCTTTCTGTGAAGAAGGAGAACAGAAGAGAGCAGGGGTAGGGAGAACTTGGCTTCTGATGATACTTTTCATACTTTGTTTTGTTTTCTGCCTGTCTGGCTGAAGCCTGCCAGGCTCTGGAGGGGCCCAGATGCCAACATTTACCTGCAGTTTCAGTGAGTCGTGGTCATAAGGGCTGGGAGTGAAGTCAGTGTGGACTCGAGCTCGCCCACAAAAAGGCCCTGTGTACTGGGGAGCAGGTGTCTCCTCCATGAAGCTTCCAGAGCCTGGGCCAGGGCTACAGAGTTCACTGCCTGCAGGAAATGGACAGAGGGGAAGCATGTCTTTGTCCCAAGGCAGCTGGGGTAGGCAGTGCCTAGTCGGGGCACTATAGGAAGCTCCTTGTGACAAGGAAACACCCTTGTGACAGAAGCTGCACTCTTTCAGGAAGTACAGACGTGGTTCAGCCCCTTAGCCACTCTGGTGAAGCATGGCTTTTTACCTCTAGACCTTCAGACAATGAAGAGTTGATAGTTGGAGAGTTGACTCATAGAGTCTACAGAATGGGCAAATCCGGAGTGTGTCTGGGGACCCAGCAACTCTCCAGGTAGGCCAAATGACCCCCCAACAGGCCTCTCATTTATACTTGATGCCACTGAGTCTACCACACTCCAGGTCTCTTTGCTCCCACTATAGTGTTCCTTCCACGCAGGAAGACATGCCTTGCAGGATTCTTTTACTTTCTCTATTTTATAAGACAGCATTTAGTAACAAGGCCTTATGAAAATGCAGGCACACTCTTTCTACCTGAGAAGGGCAGGGTGATGGGTATTTTAAGTGGATTTCAGTAAGAGGCAGAGAGCGGTGTCTGTAGAGGCTGAGAAAGGGTGACAAACATGGGATGAGCCTGAGGGACTTCAGGCAAAGCACTGAGCCTTTAGAGGATCTGAGAGCCAAGAGGCTGACTCTTGAGAACTGGAAAATCTATCTCTGGGCTTCCAGGTGGGATGTTTCAGATACTCAAGGGACAGAAGCCTATAGGTCCCCATGGAAAGCTGAGGACAGCCTGGTCCAAGAGGACAATGAGGTTCTTCCTCTGCTTGTGGGCCTTTCCAGGCCTGAGATAGCAAGTGAAAGCCCCTGCAAAGCAGACTGGAGTTCAATACTGGGTCACTTGGCAAGTCACTTAACTTCTTTGAGCCTCAGTTTCCACATCAACCAAATGGGGATAATAGGATAGGCCCTATCAGGTTATGATGAAGATTTAATGTGAACTGGGTCGAAAGGTTCCAGTAAGTAGAAGACAAATATTCACTTCTCTTTCAGCCCTTTCCCACAAACGCCCCTGGCACTGCCCCAGTCTGTTCCTCTCTCCAGATCTGGCAGGTGTCCAGTCACTTCCCTACTCACCTGTGGATGTCTGGCGACTGAGGGCTGGCCCTTCACGTTCTTCCTGCTCACAAAAGGCTAGGGCCATCTTCTCAGGCCCAGGGCTGCCCAGGCTGCAGTCTGGAGATGTTGGGGAGGCTGAGCCCTCCTCTGGTGTGTCTCCCTATAAGAAGAGTGTTGGAAACTCTGAGAAGCCTTGCTGTGACAGGCCAGTCCCCAGTGCAGTGAAACTGGACGTAAGTTTGGTTCAGATAAAGTTTTGGCACCTACAGGATCCATAGCCACATTCTGAACCTTAGTTTCCTCTTTTGTAAAAATAAGGACAGCAGGTCCGGTTCTCCTATGTCACAGGAAGAGGCCCCCAGGGTCCCGAGTGGACATGCTTTGTCAGTTTCCAGTTTGGGTGGACACGAAGGCCAGAGTGACAAAACTTGGATGTGGGGCTGTTGCCGTGATATGGTCAGGCAGACAATTTTGTCTGAGAACAATTGTCCACATTCTTGTGTGCCAGGCTGCCCCTGCCACTTCATTTAATTCTCACAGTAACACTTGAGGATAAAAGTGGTATAGTTGGTCTGACTTTTAAGATAGTAACTTTGCCAAGGCCTGTGGGAAATGACAACCGAGTTGTCTGGCCCCAGAGCTCCTCTTATGTCAGCTCAGTGCTTCTGAGCATGCATTCTTTAGCAGCTGGTTCTCTTCAAATAAAGGACTGGGTAATTTGCCAATTCTTATTTTGTGAATGTTCCACATCAATGGGTAACATCTGGGTACCATTGCCTGTCCCTGGATGAGTTATCAGAAGAGATATCTAGGTTATTTCCCTTATGTAGATACTATACACACATCAGCAACATGTGTAAGAGCAAGAGGTTGTGCTGGAATTAGGAGATGGTGAATTTTGAAGATTTTTAGCATCGCCTTTGCCATGGCTAGTGTTATGTCAACTTGACACAAGCTAAAGTCACTTGGGGGAGGGAGCCTCAACTGGGAAAATGTTTCCATAAGACTGGGTTGTAGGGTATTTTCTCTATTAGTGATGGATGTGGAAGGGCCCAGCCCATTGTGGGTGCTTCTATCCTTGGGCTGGTGGTCCTGGGCTCTATAAGGAAGTAGGCTGAGCAAGCTATGAGGAGCCAACCAGTAAGCAGCACTCCACAGCCTCTGCATCAGCTCCTGCTTCCAGCTTCCTGCCCTGTGTGAGTTCCTGTCCTGACTTCCTTCAATGATGAACAGTAATATGGAAATGTAATCCAAATAAATCCTTTCCTCCCCAAGTTGCTTTGATCAATAGTGCTTCATTACAGCAATAGTAACCTTAATTAGGACAACTGTTGTTTTTAATAGGACATATTTGATTTAAAATGCTCTCTCTCTCTCTCTCTCTCTCTCTCTCTCTCTCTCTCTCTCTCTCTCTCGTGTGTGTGTGTGTGTGTGTGTGTGTGTGTGTGTGTGTGTGACAGCATTGGTGATCAAACCCAGGGCTTTGCACATGCTAGGCAAGTACTTCACCACTGATTTCTGTCAGTCTATAGAAGTTGATTTCTAATAATATTTCCATTTAACAACTGGCTTATGAAATCCATGACAGTTAACCAACTGCCCTCACAAAGCTACTCTATGCTCCTGGGTGCTCTATGCTACTGGGGCTGTGCCTGCCCCCATAGCTCTTTGTATCATCTTCCTCCCAGGGCTGAAGTTAGCAAACTCCATTTTCTCTATACTTTTTGAGTTAATGAAGGTTCAACCAATCAATGTCTTTCTTTTTTAACAGATCTATTTTATTTTTTTAATTTATGTGTGTATGGATGGATGGGGTGATGTGGGGGGTATATGTATGTCAGTCCAAGTGCCTTCAGAGACCAGAAGAGGCCATTGGATACTTCGGAGCTAGAATTACAGGTGGTTTTAAGTCAGCCAACATGGCTGCTAGAAATCAACCTTTTGTTCTCTGAAAGAGTAGCAGACACTCTTCACTGCTGAGCCATCTCTTCAGCCCCACAATCTGACTTTCTGATGGTTACAAAAGTGACACCATTCAGTAGGAACCACACTTTAAATCTCAAATTTGGATCTTTGCCCAGGCTGGCACTATATAGTGTGATCCTCTCTGGTGATGCTGGGTAGCAACAGCAAGTCATAGCTCTCCATCAGCCACATGGTAAATAGAGGAGCATCTGTAATTTTCTCTCTATTTTCCTGGAATCGGGCCTTTTTTAAATCAATCCCAGCTTCTTGCAATCAGAGCTCGGGGCTGGATACATTTGGCTCGGGAGAGCTCATCTTCCTTTCAGATGCCCTCACTCTGTCTGTCTTTCAGAAAGCTTCTGTTGTCCAGACTTTCATCTTTCCTCAAATTCAACCCTTTTCTAGACAGTCTCCTGCTGCCCATGGCTGGTGATGACCCCCCCACCATAACTACCCCCCTATGCCCTGGTCACCACCTCCTTGTGAACATTCTGTTTGCACTGAGCACATCTCAGTAGTGACTCTGCAGGTCATCAGGCTCACTTCCCTGCCTCCTTAGCCAATCTTGACTTCACCCCACCCTTGGATTCCAGGCCTTACCATCTCCTCTGACAGGGCCTTGACCATCATCTTGCCCATCTTCCTGTTCATGGTTGGGGAAATGACTGCCCTCCACTTCTTTCCCAACTTTTTGCCACTCTTCCCGGAATCCTCTGGGGTAAGAACACCTGAGTCATCTTCTGGAATCTGTGACAACAAAAGAAGAGCTTCAGGGACCTTGGTGATGCTGGCTTGGATCTAGGTCTTGAAATACAAGTAGGATGGAGAGTGCCATCTGCCCACCGGCCCACCCGGTTCACTTTTGGTGCTTAGGAGAAGTGGCCCTTCTGTGTTAAGGAAACTTTGTCCCAATGACACTAATACCTCCTCTTTCCCCTCCACCCTGCCACCCCCACTTCCCCTACTCAATGTATGCCCAAGAATCTCTGAAACTCACGTTGTCATCCAGGTTAAATTCCTTCTCGCTCACCACAGGGGAGCTGGGCTTGGACTTGGCAAAATCTTTAAAGCTGCTGGAGCGCTGAAGCGAGAGCTGGAAGAAACAGAAATGCTGTAATCATTGTGCTAAAATGACTGCCCAAGGGTGGTTTCCTTCTCCCTTCTGGGCACATCCGCCCACATCATAGACCCTGAGGTGCAGGGACAAGATGTATTGCTTTCATTCCATCCCTGGCCACAGAACAAAGGACTTCTGGCCTGGGGTGCCTCATACCTCAATGCAGTTCCAGGCTAAACCCAAATTCCCACTAGCACCCGGAATTGGGTTTCAGAACTCTGGCATGAAAGAGTCAGTGGGTCAGAATCAGAGTACAATTCAGCATCTCTGAAAAAGTCGTACGTGAACTGGGAGGAAGTCCCTCCCAAAAGCATTTCTCTGGCCTCCACATTCTGTGTGCACTGAGCCAGGTTGCTATCACAGTGATAGGGGCAAACATATCCAGGTCTATAGTTTCATGAACTCTTGTCCCAGGAACAGAAAGCCAATCCCACCAGATGCCTGGCATGACACTTTCTAGAGAAACCACCATAGAGGCTTCCTTATACCAGGCATCTATAGATTTGACTCATAAGCAATTGGAACTAATTCAGTTCAACAAAAGCCGCCATTTTCTTTTGATTCGCCTCAGCTTTCAACCTTGGCCACTGGTGTGAGAAGCTGGCAACTGCCGTTTTTGCCAGTGTTTGGACTTTCACACACGGCCTATTGTTTGTGTTGATGAGACTATCATGTACATGCTGAGATACCAGCCTGAAAACAGGACAAGCCAGGTAAAGCAGGGGCACTAGAGACACAAAGAGTTGAGGGTAAGCCTGTGTCATGATAAACAGACAAAACCAGCAGACACACACAGGAACCAGAGTTCACAGATGGCCAGACAGATAGAGTGAGGATAGACTTCAGACACTCAAGATAAGGGCTTGAGGAACCAGAGCTCTAAACCCCAACTAAAGCTGAAGGTTTCACATCCTTCTTCCTACTAAATGGGGGTGTGTCCAGTGACAACCCCCAGACCAGGGAGTGACAGCACTTGCCCCTCAAGTGCAGTTTGTCCTAACTCTTAGAGACTGCAGTGTAGCTGTCTGGTACATTTTCTGGGTCTTGACCAAAGCTGAATCAGCAACTGGGTTTCAGGGTCATGTATTCCTAGAGGTAGTTGACCAGAAACTAGGTCAGCCATCAGGCCAAGCAGAAACCAGCAGCATCCGGGGCCACATAGGTGGGTGCCTGGAGCGTCAGTTGGTAAGTTTCCTTTGTGGTACCTTAGACACCTGGAAAGGGGGCTGTGAGTGGGTATACAGAGAAGACTATCAGAGCCCGGGGTGATTTCTATGGTTTTCATGCAACTCCTCCATCCTCAGCGCCCCTCCCGCTAGTCTTTCCTCCTTTTTTCTTTCTTTCTTTCTTCCCCCTCTCCTCTACTTTTCATCTATTTCCTTTTCTTGTATGGTAGGATGCAGCTGCCTGGATAACTTCCCCCTCTTAATTGCATGGAAAAGAGGGAACAGAGAGAGGGTGGGCACCAACCTGGCTTGGGCCCAAGGAGAGCAGGCTAGCTTACTATTTATAGGCCAGTGGGGCCTATTGAAGCCTTCCCTCCACAACTGCTTAACCCAAGCTCCAGAATGGGAGGCAGGAGGCTGAGAGTCGCCCCTGAAGCCCCAGGGACTGGTGAGGCTGGAAAGCAAGCCAGAGGGCAGATGTAGGGTGGGAAAGTAGGCTTTGTTAGGAAGAGTAAGCTCACTGCTAGGCTGGTCTCTAATCGCAGCTCTTTCTCCAGACCCTTTCCTGGTATTAATTTGCAGGCTGTGAAGCAGGGAGGAGAGGCCTTTGACTCCCAGGCTCCTGTGATGGCCCCTCTGTCTTAGCTTAAATCCAAAGCAGGAGGTAACCCTTTCAAAAGGGCCATTGAGGTAATTCTGGGGTTTGGGCCCAGGTGGCCACTCTTTCGTCCAGATAAATAAACAGGACAGGCACATGTTCTTCAGGTCTTCAGTGGCAAGAGTCAGCTAAGTGGTCTTTTACCAGGCCTTCCTCCATCCTCAGGGGAAGCCACAAATATCCCTTGCCCTGGGATAACCTAGCCCAAAAGTGAGTTGAAACGCATGAGCTAATTTGTTTTTACTATCTGTCCTCCCTTTGGGGTGAAGCCTGGCTGGGAGTTGTGCAGACAAGGAGGAAGTACCTTGTGCTGGTGGCCTCTCAAGTCTAAGGAGAGCATGTGGGCCTCTTGGAAACAGCTACACTTTGGGCAGTGGGTGTTGCTAAGTTCATCTCTGGTATGACTCTGGTATGTGTGGCCTCAGATGACTTATTTAACCTTTCAAACCTCAGTTTCTTCTTTTCTGCCACTGACCAGCTGTTTGTTACTATTTCTCTCTGTGTTGTTGTTTCCTCATTAGTAAAATGAAGACAAAACCTCTACTGCTCTGAGCTGTTGTCAAGATAAACCAGCTACCCATCTAGTGCTAGGAACATCACCTGGAACATCTGTCCCTCCTGAGATGCTGGGTTATGTTTAGCCTTTGTATGACCTATCTGGAAACTTTTGTTGTTGTTTTTTCAAGACAGGGTTTGTCTTTCTAACAGCACTGACTGTCCTATGTAGACCAGGCTGACCTTGAGCTCACAGAGATCCACCTGCCTCTGCCTTCTGAGTGCTGGGATTAAAGGTGTGTGCCACCACCGCCTGGCCTCAGCTGCAAACTCTTAACCTGAACATTTCCCCATCCAAAACACTCTATACTTCTAGTAACTGCCAGAAAGCAATCTTCTTTAGATTTTAGTTTACCTGGAGACAACACGAATGTCCATCAACTGTAGAATGGATTCATTGGGTCAGAGTCATACAAGAGGACAGTAAACAGCAAGGCAACTATCCCAGCAATACTCTTGATTCCAAAACATGAATAAATCTCACCAACATACAGTTGATGAAAACTGGTCAGCTTCCCCCAAAAGTATGACTCATACTTTTTCCTCCACAAAGTTCAAAGCATGGGGGAACTCATTTATGCTGTCAGAAGTCAGCAAAGTGGTTAGTCTTGGGGAAGGGGGTATGTGGGGTTGAGTGGGGTTGTGTGAGAAACTTCTGGAATTTCAGAAATGGTTTGTTTCCTGAGCTGCGTGCTGCCTACCTGGGGATATCCACTTTATGGAAACTCACCATATGGATACCGTACTCAGACAAAAAGTGGTTTCTACTCCAATTTCAAAAGAAGTACCCCTACAGAAGTTCTCCTCTGATGACCCCGATAGCTTCACACTACCCCAAGTGGCTCACCTTTCTTGCATTTCCCCTGAAATTCCCTCTAAGCTACTTCAGTGATCTAAGCCCTAGCCTCTGTGTGTATGTGAAACCATCAAAGAAAGGTTAACTACCACCCATATGCCCAACAGTCTGCCACGTTCTTCACGTGAGTCAGCCTCCTCCAGCATCAGCAACTCCATATTACAGCCCCTCTCAGTGAAGGAAATGGAGATGCTGAGAAACGAAGTGTTCTAGGCCGAGTCCCATGACTTGTAGAGGAGACACAAGAGCAAGGCACTCCTAAACCCAAGTCTGGAACTTGACACTGGAAGGCCATGTGTGTTACTCACCTCACAGCTATTGCAGTCACTCCCACACCAAGATAGAAACAGGCTGAGTACAGTGTCCCCTACAAGTGTTGTTTGCCTGGAGCCGCCAGGAGAGCAGGTGGGAGCAACTGTGGAGGAAGGACTCGGGCTTTTTGGGAGAATGCAAATTTAAATGGGCTCGGGCAGGCGATGGGATACCTCTCCACTTGGAACTAGGAAGCATTTGAATGAGAGTGAGAAGCTAGGGGTAATCTGAGGTGAGGTGATAGTGGGTATGTTCCTAGCTGTTCTGGGGGCAAAGCAGAAAAGGCCATGGAAGGTCTTTGCTAGCCATGTCCCTGTGGATAATAGGGAGCCACAAGCTGAATGTCATTTATCTGAAATTTTTAGGACCAAAAGGGTTCCACATTTCAGATTTTGTTTGTTTGGTTTTTCAAGACAGGGTTTCTCTGTTTAGCCTTGGCTGTCCTGGATTTCATTCTGTAGACCAGGCTGGCCTCCAACTCACAGAGATCCGCTTGCCTCTGCCTCCTGAGTGCTGGGATTACAGGCATGCACCACCACTGCCAGCTTCAGATTTTTTTTTTTTTAGGTAGTGCTTCATATAGCCTAGGCTGGCCTCTAATTTACTATGTAGCAGAGGATGACCAATATTCAAGGATAAAGGATGACACCTCTACCTCTTGAGTCAATATTCATTACAGATTACATCTGTGGCTACCATACTCAGTTTACGTAGTGCGGAGGATTGAACCGAGAGCTTTATGAATACTAGCTGAGCACTCTAGTGACTGAGCTACTTCTCTAGCCCTTTCTATAGAAAAAAAAACTAGTATTTTCAGGTATATTTATAATGAGATATTTTGGCAATGAGATATCTAAACATGAATTTCATGTATATTCCATATATATATTGAAGGTAATTTTATATAACGCTTATAGTGTGCCTGTGTTTTGATTATGACCTGTCATATGAGGTCAGGTGTGGAATTTTCTGCTTGTGGCCCCATGTTGACTTTCAAAATCCTTCAGATTTTGGAGCATTTTTATAATAAGGCTGCTCAGTCTGTAGTGAGACTACAAAGCATGTGTTGTTGGAGTGTCTTTCCAGAAGTATGACATGGGGAACAATGTTCTGGTATTTGGGAAGACTTGAGAAGAAAGAGACTGTAAGGAGGCAATGGCCCAGCACTTGAACACGAACCTAGGTTCCTTTCCATTTCCCCTGGAGGGAGGCTAGAAAATAGGCCTTCATTGGAGAAGGGCTGTCTTTAAGGGAAACAAGTCCAGAACACATCCCTCTCCATTTCTTCAACATTGACACTGACGTCTGATGGAAGTAATAGCAAAGGGACTGCAGTGAGTGCAAACTTGAAGAGGATGCAAGTGTCCACAGGGCAGCCCAGGGCCAAACCCTCCCACTCTGGAACATCCTCCATCCTTTATGAAGCACAGTAGGTGCCATGTTCTGAACTTGCTGTCTGTCCCCGAGGCCTACCTCCTCCTCTGTTCTGTTGGCTTGTCTCTCAGTTCCCAGCTATCTGGGCATTCCCCACAGAGTTCTCCTACTGGTGCACTGAACCTTGTGGTTGCTATGTTCTTCTAGTGTTTTTGAGATCAGTCCAGGGACAAGGGAGTGCTGCAAGAAGACAGCAAGAGTCTGAAATTAAGCATCTTGGCTTGGGTCCCTGCAACTTAAAAGCCGTGATAGTTCTGGCAAATGTCACCAATCTGGGCTTCTGGTGTGAAATCAGTCGAAAAGTAATACCTGTCCCTGCTCTGCGAGGTTGCAGAGACAAGTTAGCAAGCTAAGCCATGAGCAGAGTGCAGAGCCCAGCACATGGCCTCTGATGAGCCTTGCCTCGGTGGTGGCTCTCCATAGGTCTTGTTTCCTGTACTTCAAGGCTAGAACCATGTTTTGTTCCTTGCAATGGGCTCCCTGTCTTGGCTCATGCCAAAATAAGCACACCCTTGTAGGCAGGAGCACACATGTGACAGTGCTTTCACAACTATTATTACCTCCCAAGACTGGACTTCTCCTTTTCTTTCAAAGGTGAAGAAACTGAGGCCCACGGGAAGTCAGTGAACTGTCCAGGGTCCCAAGGCAGAACATGGCAGGATTCCAAATCCACTTCCCTGCCCCCCCCAACACATTCTCATTGGCAGAAGGAGGAGATGAGGCAGGGACAGGTGGGAGACGCTTCTTTGCTCATTCCCTTCTACCGTATCACTTCAGTTTCCTAAGATGGAGCTGGCTACTGTCTCTAGGCCTTGGAAAGATAGCACATTTCTGGATGCTTGGTTGTGCTAAGGGCATTTTTATGGTATGGGGCTTGGGAATGTAGAGACAAGCTCATCTTGGCTCCTAGAGGCTGGCATAGGCTCTGACAAGGATAAGGTGTAGTCTGCATGGACTGCTCTTCCTTAAAGGATGTGGACCAACTGAAGACTTTTCTAGAAGAGGCCTGAAGGAATTCCCAGAGGCCCATCTGCCGAACACGGAATCTGGGTAGTTGGATCCAAGAGTGAGGAAAGGGATTTCTTGTTTTGTGTGCCTCGGGGCACTGTGAGCCCTTTCTCAGACTCTTTCCTCCAGCTTGATTCCCCTGTGGTTTGGGGCCTACCAGTGTCTATACAGCAGTCTCTGTTTCCCTCATGAGCTAGAGAGCAAGGGGAAGTGGCTTG